CAGTGGTTTCCTCTGAGAGACTTTGAGATTTCTACTTACGAGACATTCTCGTGTCTGGGAATGAGGTTGTTTCGTAGAGTGATCGAGGAACACGTTGGTTGTAGGCGAGGTTGGTTCTGGACTAGGTTGTTCGAAAAGGACTCCACCAGTGATGTTCTCCATAAAATATTACAACTAATTCAAAAGATGATGAAGTGAGCGAATACGCTCAAGAAGGCCCCAAGACTTAAATAAATATTATCGTTGAAAGCTCATCGAACATATTCATTCGCTTTATCATCTTGTGAGTATCTACAGTCAGTCCCGTAATTATTCGTACTCACTATATGTATTAAAGATATATGTCTAAAATAAATGATAGTTTTGATATCTCCAAATAAATGTTTAGAAATATATACACGTAAAAGTTTATTCATGTACATATTTATAACGCAACATTTATTTAGAGACGTCAAAAGTATTACTTAATTTAGAACAACTTCTTTAAGAGATATAGAGGGTACGAATATTTACGGGACTAACTGAATATTGGAAGCTTCCGAAGGCTACTCATTGATTTTACCATATCATGAAGTTTCAGTCCAAATGTATAATTGTAAGAAAGAATTCTGTCTTTATCGAAGTATGCTCAGGCACCGAGATATTCTCCATTGTTCCATTATCATCGGAACATCGCTTTCGGAGGGATAAGCTCGTCGATGCATTTTGGACACAGTCAACTTCGTTGAAGTACGGGCCATGTTGAAGTTGGAACAGGTGGTAATTAGACGGGGCCAAGTCTGGGGAATATGCCGCGAGCAGAAGAACTTGCCAGCGCAAGCTGAAGATGACGTACTTCGTCGCTGAAGCAACGTGTGGCCGAGCTTCGTCATGCAGGAGCATGACTTGACAGTTTCCTCGACCAGTAAACGGTTTCTTTCGCTGCAACTCATCGCTCAAATCGATCAGTTGGAATCGATAACGATTTGCCGTGATTGTTTCACCTGGTTTCGGGAGTTCAGACCAGGGAACACCTTTCGTGTCCCGCCAGATGCAAAGTGAAACTTCTTTTTTTGCGGTAAATAAGTAATTAGTATGGTATTGTGCTACCACACAGAAAAATCGGTTTATGAGATCATAATTCTTCCTGTTTAATTATATTTCTGAATAAAATATTTTCTGTCATGGATTGTTGGAAATTACCTGTCGAAGCAGAAGAGAACAACCGAGTTTGATCGTCGTCGCATGGATTTCTCTTTGCTTCAGATTCATGGGACAAAGACACCTTGTTTACTTTGCTCGTGTCGTCGCCCTGAAGGCATGATACAATAAGTATGGAAAGTATATAGCACGGTAACGACTAGAAACTTTAACCAAAAATGGGAATCAAATGAATACGAACGAAAACGTCTGCATAGGGTGGTTCCTCCGTATAAGCTCACTTTATCCTAATTTCACGATCAGACACGAATTTATATAATTGTGAAGATCATAGGCTAACTATATCCAAAATACATGCAAAGTGAAACATAAGTATTGACCCTAAAAAGCAATGGCAAATAGACGATAGCTGGTGTACGTATCCTAGATCAATTTCAATCTAAAAAGAACTCGTAAATAAACAATTTCTAATGCACCATCATAGATCAATTTCTACTTAAAAGGCACTATTAAGTAGACGATTTCTAGTGCATTTGTCACGCACCAATTTCTAATTAAAAAAAAACTTCTACGTATCCAATTGTCTCAGCCATAATTTGTTTACTCTGCACGAGCATATTCGCTGCAAGATATTCGCGTTTGATACGCTTCTGTCGGATAAGCGATTACTGGACTACCGCATGTTCATAAGTACCCATAGATAGATACCGGCTCCGGGGATCCCGTGTACACAGATTTCTCGGTTCGATCGTTAATGTACATCATTCGGATAAGGATCAACATCTCGTAAATATAAGCCAGAGGTGGCCCGTAACTTATAGCTTATTAAACATGATTTACCACAAAGTGGTCACAATGTAAAATAAATAACGATAACAGCGCCTAAGGATGAAGACACCGCAAGGGGTGACAAAAAAAGTATGAGAAACGTTCCTGGTCGCTAGTTTCGTCCTCAAAATGTTTCTAGCGACGAGCAATGCGTTTCCTGTTCCTTAAAAGGCATTCGAAGACCCTAACACAGTGGATTTTACTGCTATACCTCTGATATAACTGAGAGTATGCTAATAGTATGGTGGATATTTGTTTGTAATATTCTTTTAATTATTACCAAAAGTCACAGTGCCGTGCCCTCGCACGTGTACTCTAAATTCGAAGAGCATTTTACTTGAAGGTACTGTTGGCACATGTGAAAATTGAACCCTCAGGTATATTCACCATTGAATATACAATTGTGCCGTTCGCTGCACAAATCGATTAACTCCACTTTTTAAAAAATCATAAATTTAAGTGCCAAAGCACTTGGTATAGTCTACTTTTTTAAATAATAAAGATTAACACCATTGAACGACAACTTTTGTTTTATGAAGTTAATCGATTTGCGCAATGTGCAACGGCTCAATTGTGAAGGTATTTGACCGTGCCCACTGCAAACTACTGGGCCAGGTTTTTCAATTTTCCAAGTGTACAACACTGTTTAAACCGACGCAATGGCCGTGCGCTGCGGAAAGCTGCCCTCGCGGCCATCCTGTTTCGAACCGTGTTATGCACTCGTAAAGGTTAAGAACCACTGCGCTAATCCCTCGACGGCTACCTTCCGTGCGCTTGCACCGAGCGCAGCAGGACGAGTGCGTGCCTAGGCTGCATATAAGCGGCGCATTGACAGACCGCGCCGCATGACTCCCCTATTGGCGAACGCTTAGAGATGCCATAGCCCCCTGCGTGGGAATTGGAGCACTCTGCATACGGAGAATGGCTCGCTGCGCCACGACTCTGTGTCTAAAGACGACGAAGACAACGACAAAGAGGAGGAGGATCTGGACGATGCGCGGTGCAGCGCGAGGCACGAGAGAGATCCTCTCTATAAATCACAGCTCGAGCAGTTTCTCTCCGTGCAGAAGGTGGAACAATATCCTTTCCTGAGGTCTTTGCCTACCGTTGCGCCTACCGTACTCACGCGTTACCTGTACTACAATAGTACCCTAAAGGATCCGAGATGCGAGAGGAGCGGCTGATTAAATGCAAACAGAAAGAAGGTATCGAACGCTCGTAGATTGTACGCCGCGTTCGCGATTCCCGATCGCTACAACAATCTTGCGAGCGATGAGGAAACACTTGACGAGTACACCAGAATTTTACAGTCAGTGGTTGACGAGGATAATATGGTACTTTCGCGATAAATTGTTGAAGCAAGTTGTCACTCACGCTAACCACTCGAATGGGCATTTTCTGGATAGTCCAGCCACCACAATAGAGATAATCTTCTATGTCACTCGTGTCTCATCTAGAGTTAATTAACTACAGCACTCGCAGAATTAACCCTTGAAATTACGTCCACGTGTCCTTACGCAATCACGTGTTCTAGCTATCCTGCGGAACTGGTAAGAGAAGAGGGAAAAGAGAGAAGGCGATGTCTGAGGCGGAAAGAAGGTCAGTGGAGTATGAAGAGAATCCAGAGGAGGAGAAATGACTTAGCAAGAAGTTTGAGAGAGGAGGGCTGGAAAGGACAGCAGGATGAGAAGAAGATGGAAGTAAGTTCTTCGAGGCTACACCAACGGCCAGAACAAAAAACAGGGCCCGTAAGGATACAGATAACGAACTTATTAGGAAGTAGATACTCACATGAAAAGTATCAACTCCCAATCGACACTCAACAACGATCTTTAAAATGATATAAAGACACATCAACGACGAGGAATTCCTAAGGCTAAATTTGCAGCCCGATGTTCTCCAGGGCGTATTCGAGGATGCCCGTCGTGGGACTCGTTAGCGAGTCGAATCCGATACGGGCGCACTTATCGCCTCGCATCGCCTGCGCAAAGTAAACGGCTGAACACCGTGCAACAGACAGTTCCACATACACATCGGTTCGGGATTGTCTGCTTCTGGTTTCGTTCCTGGCCCCGATATATCCTCTTTTCTGCCAGGACGCCCCTCCGCCCCCGCGCCGCCGCCGTTACCCAAAGGCTTCGCTATTTTTTCACGTGCCCCCCCACCGACTCGAGCGGCATTATTAATGACCGCGGAAACCGCGTCAAAGATCTCACGAGCGTGCGCGAGCGTGATCCGTCCGCGTGTACGATACGCATTTTTTTTAACCGCGCTATGCGCCGCGGTGATGAATGGTGGCTAACCGGACCCGGAATGTTCTTGTCCCCCACCACGCCAGGTGGCTCGCAGGGGTGGGAATCGGCGAGATCCGCGGACGAGCTACTAGACGCATCGTGATTTATACGCGGTCCTCGCATATGACGTGCCATTGTGATTTAGGTGCTTAGATATTAACAGGCTCTGCTCGCTCCGGACCGATACGCCGCGACTTCCCGAAACCGCTATTTCCACGAGGAATTTTTCCGCGGGAATAGCTGATACAGGAGGAAAAGACTGCACCGCGAGCAGCGTCCGTCACGATTCGATTTCCACCTGATGAAATCGCGTTATTAACGGCGGAATGATAACTGTGCCAATTCCTTGCTTCGAGATAGCGTTTCAACTCGGAGTTGACCCTTTTGGGCGAACGTGGGGGTTGCTGGAGGTACGATGGGAGCGATGGTGGTGAAGAAGGTTCGGAAAGGGAGCGACGTGGGTGGCAAGCTTGAGGATGTGTCAAATTTTCTTTGCTTGTATTGGGAAAAAATTGTTATTAAAAATGGTAAGACAGTGGAAAGTTATAGCTAGACTGCAGAAATTTATGCATTTGTAGGAACTGGAAATATGAAGAATGTATGATGATGTGCATTAATTAAAAAATATATAAAACACATGTCTAGAAGATAGTATAATGTATATTTTCCTTTAAATTTCATTTCTTCGTATATAGCTGTAAAAATATGAATTTCCATAAGTTCAAAAATATGTAAATATCATTTCTTCATATACGTTCTAAAAATCAAATAATACGTATGCATCATATGTAAACGAAACCTCGTGACAACTTCTCTTCTCTGATCCCTCCTGTGAAAAGAGCATCCCCAATTACACCTTCGCCTTCTTCAACGCGGCCACCTCTTGCTCCAGCGCGGAGACCTTCCCCGTCAGCTTTCGGACCTGCTCGTTCAAGCCAGCAACGCTGTACGGCAAGGTATCGGAGGAGCCGACCATGCGATCGACGCATTTATTCAGGATCGCGTCCTCTCTATCGGCCCCGGGTTCGTGAGCCAAGCATTCCTCGATCAGTAAATCACTGATGCTCCAGTCCTTGATGAAACGGATGTGATTACTGCCTAGGTACCAGGTCATCGGTGCACGACATCGATAAGACCACGGGTTACCAGCGATCAAGATTTTCCGAAGTTTCTTCAGCTTCTTCAGCATATCTGGCGACAAGCACGCGCTCAGCTCGTTATGGGCGATGTCCCAAACTACCAGCTCGTGCAGCAGATCGTAAATTTTCGAATCTATATCGACGACGCGATTCCGCCACAGGATTAACGCCCTCAGGTTTGGTAATCCCCTGATCCACGTTGCGTCGATCTTGCGGATCTTATTGTTCACCAAACCGAGAATTTGCAAGTTGTCCAGACCCCTGAATGCGTCTGGCTCTATTTCTTCCACGCCACATCCGGTTATGTTCAACTCGATCAGCGAATCGGAGAACTGCGCGAACGCGTCCGTTTTTATCTTGCTGATGTTCGAGTTTACGATACTGATCCCCTTTGCTCCAGGTGGTATCTGAAACTATTTAATTGGAGTGCTAGGTTAGTGTTAGGATATTGAATTAAACAATCAGAGTGGTTTATCAATATTTAATTCAAGCAGAGTAAATGGAAATTTGTGTTGAAAGATTGTCTGTTGTGACTATTTCTCAGTTAGACTTTGTAACGTGTCACGTATGCTATCCTCAATAATTACTCGTGTATTAAATCTTTTTATTTCTTCGTATTTTATTTTACAATTGTTATTTTATTGAACAGCTCCGTAACAAAGGTACGCATAAGAATACGCTTCAGTTTTTGTAACAACGATTCGAGGTAAAAGCAAAGAATAGAACGCAGCTGACAGAGCTTTCAGAGCCACTTTAAATTACCGCATGATTTCATAGTAGATATACGAAGTGACCTCCATTGGATGCTACATACTCGTTGATACGCCCTATCACGGACTGTCGCATGCGTTCGAACGCTTATGGCTGATTTCTATCTGAATTGCATGCATCGATTATATTGCGTGTTATTGATTGTTTATGTTGCGTGAGAGAAGGTCAAACGAGATCGCTGATACGGTCTCTCGGTATCTGTTGTAATAGTTCTTGTGTCTGATTCAGAATCGCTTCGCATAACTCGCCACTACACGCTTGAAATAAGAGGTGGTTGAACCTATGATCGCTGAGACATTTTTCTCGGGTATAAAGCGCGGAATAAACCTGTCAATATTGTATGACAGGGCTTTCAAATCATACTACGTAAATAGATAAATAGAGAGTGAGAAATCATGCAAGATATTAGTCATGCGCTGTCGTACTTCACGAACGATCAAGATCAAGACCATTCAATTAAAAGCAAATCCTGTGAAATTTTATTCTAGTTTCTCGGCTCGTTTCTGAAAGATTAGAAGGTTTCCCTCTAAAAAAGAAAGAATCCCTCCACTCGAAAAGATATATCGACAAAGTATTCTTAAATAATTCAAGAATTAGTACGTTTCACAGATTTTGGATGTTCGCAGATGAAGAATATTCAAGAGCTGAAGAATTTCTAACGCTGATACTTTCACGATAATAACATTTGCCCTCCATAAAGCATTTCAGATGAAGAAAAAGTAGGTCGTTTGAAGCGATCGGCTTCAGGAGTCTCTACTAGGTCCTCCGCAGTTCTCGAGAGTATCGCGATCATGCGAGGTCTTCAGCGGGAAGATAAATGGTAAACAGTTTCTCACGTTCAACTGATTTAATCCCTCGCACTGGTACCAATTTTCTCGGCCATTTAATCCCGGAGTACAGGTCGCGAGGCAGGAGACCAGACACGTCGCGAGGACTATAGATCCGAGCAAGTCTCTCATCTTGGCGGAAAATTTCAGCAACAACTGTGTCTCCCCGGCGTGCGATTCGCCTTTTATACCGATTCGGTTCGGCTGCGGTCGAGGCTTTGTCACGGTCACCGTCGTGCCAGATATAAAACGGGAAAACCGACAGTTAAAAACAAGAATCAGACACAGCAAGACGTACGAACGACGCATACTAAATACAAGCGCGTTGGCGCAGTGAAACGGCTGTCCGTGGACGATTTTATGTCCTGGTAGCGTGGGTGGGAAAGAACGTGGCCATTTTTAGTACTTGGAGGAGTAAAGAATGATTTCTGTTAAGTTTCACTTAATGAAGTGAACTTTTTATTAAGTTTCTATAAGACTGCTATTCGTTCCATTTTTGTTTAATGAACATGAGGTAACATTATATGTAAAATGCCGACACAAAGTCTGGAGTATATCTGGAAGCTCTCAGTTCTCCAAATAGATGGTTAAGCATTCTAAAAAAAAAAAAAAGAACAAATCTAAAAGGTATCTAAAATGAGAAATTCTTGAAATTGAACTACACTTTCGAAGGAACGAAGATTAGAGAAATGAAAGGAATGCAGGATGAATGGAGGTGAGGTTAAAACGAAGTACAAATTCGTACCCAGTAAGAACGTGCAGAGAAAAGAAGGTCTATGATCGGATAATTAGGATTCCACGTTCGTGTCACCGATGTTAATGCCTCCTGCAGTGGGAACCGGTTCCGCCGCTCGAGACGCACAAAATTGATCGCAATCCCTGCAATTTGACGCCTCGCGAAACTCCCACTTTAAGCTCGGGGGAAACCCTTTCCGCGCGTATTAAAACGTTCAGGATGATAACTGTATGATTTCACGATAATAGCAGTCGGCACGCTGTCTCGCGCTTTGGTTGTAATTTGGAGTCGCGTTTGTCGCATCGCTACTCGTTGCTATTTACGTTTATTGATGGTTTGTCAAATACCGAAACCATCCTGATGCTCTTACGAATAATGCGAGACTGATAAAAGCAATTTTAAAACGAACTCATTGGTAGACTGTAAGAGACTTGAATACATTTTCTAATTAGAATGGCCATTTTGCGAAATCCCTATTGCAAGAGCAGACGTTAAAATTCTATCAACATGAAAACAAGACAGCAATGTTTATCCTCTATGGATATCCAACTATACATTGTAATACTGAAGCAAGAATGTGTGAATTAATTTTAAATGCAAAGCATTTAATCCTGTATAAAAATAAGTATATATAATAAATGTCCTCTAGATAATTTCTTAAACGATGGTAGCTTCTGATCAATGCTTCATGTTCAACGGATAATTTCACGTCTGAGAACGTCCGAATTCCCACCCGCGTTTTGAAATATCGAATGATGCACCTTCCTGATAACACCTACGTGTTTTACCGACATTAAGCCCCACGCAAACTGTGCCCGGCACATAATAATAAAGAGCGTTACTTCGATCGCACTGTAATCACCCGAATAAAGCCACCTGACGATGCCGCGGCGTGGGTGCATTTGTCACTATCGCGCGAGCGAATAAAGTGTTTGCATACTCCTACGAAACGATGGAATACGATGATAACAGCCTCGAATGATAAAGCTGCGGCGTATCTGGCGTACGCATCGCGATAAGGAAGGACTGCGAAGCGATCCAAAATGGCATCAAAATGCGTTAACCCTGAGTTAACGTCTCCTCGACCCGTCTAGACGCGAGCAATTTTATATCAACTTGTTAAAAGTTATATTAACAAGTTAATTTTACGTACAGTGGCCTATACTTCGTTTTCAATTGGATTTTATTCTTCGAGCAATCATCTCTGAAATTTAAAAAAAAAATGACGGCTAAGCAAATGCTTCAACGATATTGTTGAGCAAAATAAGAATTACTTCAGAGTATCAGAGTATACACCCAAAGAATTCCACGTCCCAAAAAGCAACATCACCTTTCCTCAAAAAATAAAACATCTTTGCATTCCTGATCAAGACTATCAGCGATAACGTAATCGTTCAAAGCCACTGAATTTAAATTATCCATTAAACTGCGCTTTCATGACAATCGAGTAAATAAATTTCTTCATCAAGAGGGCATTCACGTGCAACCTTTTTGCGCCGTCGCGTAATTGCTCAAGATTCGAGTCCGCGTATCACGCAGGTTATCCTTTATCAGTAGCAGCGATAAAAGGTAACTTACGATGCGACCAACACCTGCCCGTCTCTGTCGTCGTTACAATGAAACTCGGCGTGTACGTATACGAGCTTTTAACATATGTACGTACATTCGGAACGTGTTATTCACGCACGGCCGAGTGTATGAGAAGTCTGCATATATGCATAAGCCCCGGTGCACGTGGTGCGCCAGCAAATCGTAATGCTGTAATAATGGATGCACTACCAGCAACAGTTGTCCAGCAGCGCGAGGGGACGCGAACAGAGATATGGAGATCGAACCGAACGTGGCAGACGGAGAAGAGGAAACGGAATAAGTAGCAGGGAGAGTGTTCGTGCGCGTTTCGCGCGTAGAACTGAGAATTTTCGTGTACAAATGTTTGCGTTTATTTCCAGAGGCGTGAACGAACTATACAGGGAAGCTCTCTGGAGGAATTACAAGTTCCTTTGTGACGAATGACGTGGTTTTCGATGAATTTCTCTCGAAGTAAATAAAAAGTAAATAAGTTGTGGGAGTTCGTTGGAAGTATAAGTGAAAGGTTATCTTTATGATTCTTTGTTGTTTACTATTCGGTATAATGTAGGCGCAATTATCTTGACGATTCACACTGGTGACAATGACTATGTATACCTACGAAGAAGATAACGTCTAAACAATTTTCATACCTAACATATTTGTATATGTCGTCTACATGCATTCTACATAGAAATGCATACATCTTGCTCATATCCATACATTCTACGCACAGATGTACGTATTTCCCCAATCGTTTTTACCGAAGCTCTCTCCGCTAATAACAAAAATATGCGCAACAAAATAACACTAAAACAGAAATAAATTTAAAACACCGAAATAAAGTAGGGATGTAAATAGAAAATAACAGACACGTGAAGGACCACGGTGATTCGTTAATTCATCTGTATATTCGCAACATATTAACCGAATCCCAACGTGTGATAACACCCAAGCGGATAAATAACATCTGCATATTTAGAAATATCCCGGCGCGGTTGCGTCACCGATAAAACGCCTTAAAAAACAAAAAACAAAAACATGGACGACCAGAGTAAAAATTGCATTACGTATTAACACTTTATCTACCGGGCTATTTAGAAACAGTCTTTAATTCAATAAAGAATTTTCTACAGTATCATATGCCAATCTAGGTTGACAGTAATTCCTCCATATCGTAACTAGTACATTGAAAGCCAAGTATGTTTCCAAAAACCGAACATTGTAAGTAGACAACCATCAACACAGTAAATAAATTCGAAAAGCTAAGTACTGAAATTAAAAAGCCTATAAATAGGCTCCCGGTAAATAAAGTGTTAAGCAGCTCGTATTTTCCTGGCACACCGAGTCGCACACCACAGGGGTATCGTGTTTTTAACAACGAAAATAGGTGGCCCAGTATGCATACCCCGTAAAATGATAAGAGTTATAAATCAAATTACGAATTTGATTGTGAAACGTGTCGCGTGGCTAAGGTAAATACATTAGCCGGGTTCGTGATACAAGGGGGCCAGCGTCTTGGTGGTTTGACAGGATTAAAGAGTCCATTAAGAGCTACGGAAACCCCTTCTTATCGAGGAACATCTAATGTTGTAGCAAATGAACACTTGTATTTAAATTTACGATCGTATCAAAATTCGATGTTCCATACTTTTACGATAACTCGGTGACGTGTCACTGTTGGAGTAGCGTTAACTTCGCGTGCGATCCGAACGAATAGGCGATTTTCATGCCGGCGCATCTCTGATCGTCGCACGACGAGCGACGGTGGAGTCGTCGGGTGCTCCATGAGAGATCGACAGATTGTGTGAAAATGCGCTTTAGTATCTCACGCGTGGACGTGTTAATTTCATAAGGTTGCACAATAGCACTTGCGCTGGAGTAAATTATCGTGGCATCGCTGTATCTAAGGGGTGTTCGATGCAACATGAATTTCTCTGTATAAAACACCTGAATACCTGAGGCTTAGTTATAAAAATCGAAATAGCACGTTTAAATGAACTCTCATCTTTGATTATAATTCCTTGTAATCAGATGCATGTAATTTTCTCATACCGCAGATCATAATGCCTCATTTATGAAGCCCTAGAGATAAATCTTACCCTTAAAACAGCTTGAAACCCTTGAAGAACACATTTTTAAAATAAAAAAAAAAAAATTCACGAACAAAAAGATTCGATTTAAAATTCCTCGTATGAATAAATAATTCCGTCGAAATAAATCTCACGTATCGAATCGACTAATGTCTGCAGACGTAGAATCTGATCGCTTTGACGTGAATCGGTGATCCATCGCTGTAGAAAATGTCTCGCGAAATCTACACGCGGATGGACGTATTAATCCGAAATTACGCGGCAATGTTTCACGCGTGTTTTACGCCAAGTTTTAGCGAATGGCGATAGGTCTGAAAAATTGTTCCAAGCGTACAATTGAAACACATGTTATGAAAGGGAGTGCTGTATTTCAATGCGCGACACGGCATGAATGAACAGTTACCTAAGGATATATGGAAGCAATAAACCGCCCTGCGCCGCGGTAAAGTGTGAATCGGCTTTTAAACTGATACCCGCCAGAATACAGAACGAACAACGGCGTCGTAAACGAGCCCCGACGTAAAGCGTTAAACTGCATTCGTGTACGTGCACGTGCGACGAAACGCACGTGCGTGTCATTTCAATTCGAAATTGGGTCGGAAATAGAATGAAAAAGTTGCACATTTTTATTCGATTCCGACTTCTCTTGCGCTGTGCACGGAAAATGAAACCATGGACGTTCAAAATTGTTTGCATACATCAATAACAAAGTGTTAGAGACAGGCTGACTCGAAATGATTCGTAGAGGAGTATTTGTGGGATTCCTTTTAAAGTT